ATGAAATGTGTTCTTAAAAGTAATTTGAATGAATCAATATTTTCGTTCAGATAAAATTACAAAAAAGGACTATTGACTCGCTTTTCTTTAATTACATATGTATTTTTTTAAGCCATTCAATTCATTTATTTGTAAATTTTTTTCTATCATTTTATTTGATACGAAAAAGAAAATTTTATTCAATTAATCTACATGTTTTTTCGAACGTCTGCTTTATAAATAGATATTATATGAATACATTTGCTTACTGTTCTTAGAAATACATCTCTTCTAATGTAATCATACATATTTAAAAAAAAAATGTGTATTCCACCCAACAGAAAGTTTATTTCATTCAAAATGTCATCATCGGAATGCATTTAAAAATTCTGAGAACAATTATGAAGTTCGATGAATTCATTTAATATCTTGAAACGTTGTGTTTCGTAAAAATATTTTTAACATAAAATCAGGACCCTAGGCCATTCAAATTTTTGGGGCCCTTAGATGAAATTTTTTATTTATTCAAATATAAAAGTATCTTTTCATTTAAGAAAACATACTTAAAATAAATAATAATCCTCTTAAACAGTGACAATATATAAAATTTGATTGAAAGTGACCAGTTGTGTGAGTTTTTTCTAGAGTATATAAACAAACACTTACCTTTTAGTAAAATATTTCGCAATTATTTATTGACCAAATAGAATTACGGACACTAAATAATTATAAAACACTAAAAAAAATTATGAGACACTTCAGTTGAGGCACTAAATAACTTCATTTAAAACGTCTCAATAATGTCAATGTTACCGGCTAAGTGTGAAACACCGGCATTGCATAGAATGCCTGACGGTTTTAGGCAAAGTATGAAATGTGAGAAGTATTACATACTTTGCCTAGGCATTGTATAGAACGCCTAGGCATTCTATACAATGCCGGATGCTATTTAGGCAAAGTATGAAATAAACGTCCTGATGCGAGGTTATTATGTAAATGATGTGTATGTTACTGTGAATGAGCGAAATCGGTGGTTGTTAACTTTCACCGGTGAATGTTGACAATCACATAGTCGCTTTGGTGAATGTCCGAAATATTTATGACATTTTATCTCATTTTCCCATTCCTAAATAAAGGCCAACCCAAGCAGNCGTGGATATAATTACATTTATTCGATATTTTAATGCTTACTGACGATAGATTAGAAGAAACATCAGTGTCTGATGGAGTATCGGGCAAATGTATACCGGGCAGTGGCACTTAACCTTAAAAAAAACATCAGTGTAAGGTATACCGGGCAATGGCGCTTAACTAGACCTAGTATGTATTTCGGACATTTACCGAAGGTCCAGTCATACTAGCTCTAGTTAAGTGCCATTGCCCGGTATACCTTACACTGATGTTTTTTTAAGGTTAAGTGCCACTGCCCGGTATGCATTTGCCCGATACTCCAGACACTGATGTTTCTTCTAATCTATCATCAGTAAGTATTAAAATATCGAATAAATGTAAAACTACCGGTCATTCACAGTAACATGCATTTCTCAGAAATAAAAATGTTATTCTGAAAAAATACTGCCATTGAAAAACATTTATTCAAATTGTGGAAAGAAAATTAAAAAGTTCTGCAAAACGAAATTAAAGCCTTTCTTATTCAGGGAAACAAAATTTTCATATAAAAAATAAGAAATTAACCTACTTGTTGCAACATGGCAGGCTTGAATGACATTTTGAATTGCATTTCATTAAATTTTATTAAATTTTTTCATTTCCATGTAGCACAGTAAAAAATAATTTTTGTTATTAGTCTAAAGTCATGAGCCACGCGTTAAAAGTCACGAGCCTTGAGTGATATTTGAAGCGAATCGGAGGTGTATTTTATACTTTGCCGGTATCTCATTTGGCAATCTATAGAATGCCTAGGAAATATAAATCATTTCATACTTTGCCGGCTAATTTTAGGCATTCTATACAATGCCGGATTTCATACTTTGCCGGTAACATTTAATTCTTTGCTTCTTGTTTAAGCAAGTCTCAACTGCTTTCAATTCTTTCGCCAAAAGGACAAATTTGAACTTAAAAAACATTGATAATTATTATAATGCATAATAATACTTATGAATAATAACTAAAATAAGTAATAAATAAATATGTAAAAAATTATGTAATAATTATGCAAAAAAAATTATCGTATTTTATTAATATATATTTGAAATAGAATTTTTTTTAAATCATTGTTTTTCTTAATTTTTTTAATTTTATTTTCAAAAAAACTTTTTTAAGGGACCCCTAATCATTGGGCCCAGGCCATGGCCCAATGGGAAACCGGCACTGCATAAAATCGCCCACGCAAATTATCTAAATACGAGAGTCATTTTCGAAAATAATCTTGAAATAAATTCTTCATATTTTCTAAAATATTTCATAATTTTCTACTTATATATTTTGGTAGATTAAATATAATTTATTTTTCAGTTTTTTTTTCTGTTAAAAAGTTTGTTGGAATTTTAATCTTTTTGAAATCTGAAATTGTCCCGTTAAAAATAATTAAAAATTAAATTTCGGCACCCAATATTAAAATTCAATTCTCCTATAGCTGGATTCAGTTGTTTGACTATAAAAGAGCAGTTGGCAATGCGCCAAACATAAACGATCTCTAACGTCAAAAGAGAGGAAATAAATCTTAAATGCAGCCCTATCTATGGTGTACGGCATACATTAAGTGACACTACTTTAGATGCACAAACGGTCCATCACTTTAAATACCAATAAAGAACCCAATGGTTTAAAATATTACAAAAATTAATGTCCTTTATTTATTTTTCAATATCTAAAGAATCAATCTAATGAATACAATCAAACACTTTCATTCATAAAATGCATGCGCACATTCCCTTGGGGGAAAATACTTGATTCCGTACTTTAACGGATNGGTACACAAAAGTCATAAGTTTGGGAAACACTGCCGTACTTCAACGGATAATCCTGCAGGTTAGCTAGTGCATATTAACTATTTTCATGATGTGTGAAATTTCCGTCTCTGTGATTGTAGCCTCGAATTAGTTCACACTCCATCTTATTCCAATCATTCATTCATAAAATACTTTCATCCACACATTTTTGTTTAAACTTGTAGTGGGTGACACTTCAAATATAAATTCATTCATTTAAATAGGGATGAGGGAAAATTGAAATGGAATTTTCCGAAGTCATTGTTTTAAATTTTACTGTAAGCGATTCAGTCTGTTTAAAGATTTCTAACTTATAGCTCTATTTGAACAAAACAAAAAAATAGTTTAGGGCGCACATTTAATTATTTTATACTCGCTGTGTCAGATAAATTCAATAAAGAACATGACGTGGAGGCACGCGTGGTCCACGTCACCAAATCTAGACTTTTAAAGTTGTCTGATACCACGTGTTTTTTTTTCTTCTTCTTCTCCATTCCCACACTCTCCCCCCTATATCGATGTTCAAATTTTCAATCGTTCATAAAATACATTTTATTCATCCACTCAATACAATTTTTCGAACTAGATTGCACTTCATGTTAATACAGTTTTTTTTTTTTCAAATATTAATTCATTCATTAAATTTAATTCATTCATTTTAGATTAAAAAAAACTTAACTTTTGAATAAAAAGTAACTTAAATATAATTTTTCTTTGTTGACCTAAGAAAGAAGTGACTTTAAAAAAAAATATTTTTTAATATGAGTCGTTAATTTATTATTTTTTTCAGATTCATCCATTTGTAAATGAATGGCGCAACATAAATATTTTAATTCTAAATGTGTGATTGCCACAAACTAAACGTGCTTTTAGACATTTTTGCGTAAGAGTAAAACTATTTGCAACCCAAAAAAAAAATTTTAAAAAAAGAGAGAGAGAGAACCAGCATACGATAAAATGCTCGATTTTGCGCCATCTAGTGACATTTATTTCAAACATTTACAATAAAACCACTCCCTGTTCACGTTTACTTAAAAAGTTCATCATTCGATAGAATGAGGGTTAATCCTATTGAAATAAGCCATTTTACTTTAATGTTTAGGCCATAAATCAAATTTTGAATAATTTACTAAGCCAAAATAAAGTGAGCTTTATTTTAATTTTTTAAAAATCTATCTTATTGCTAAGTCGTAGTATCAGCCTATCCCAGCATGTTGTCAAGACACGAAAATGCATGGTTTTTAAATATGGCTTTTATTTTTTAATGACACTATGTTCTTTCTTAATTTTTAAATATTTCTCATATTCTCAGAGACTTTCATATAAAATTTTCAATTTTATTTTTATGGGTGGATTTTATCTGTTTGATATTTAAAACTTTTTATTATTTTTATTATTGCAAAGTTTTATAGAATGATTAGGCTTCGTTCATCAAATAAATAAGGCTTAACATTCATCATTGATTCTTTTTTCATAATATATAAAACAAGTTTTTCTTCAAGCGATTTAAAGTATTTTTATGAAATAATATTTTATAATAGTATGAAAATCTATTTTATCAAAACATTCGAAACATATTTTAGATATAAGTAAATTTTATTATTTCAAACTGCTATACTTAAAATTTCTTTTAAATACTATCACAATTTTGCAGCAATGCATATTATTAAGTTATTTTAAACGTTCCCTCACACTTTTTTTAAAATATTAATATGTAATAATTGTTATCAATACGTAATAGTTTAGATTGTATTAAAATTCATAATTTAAATATTTTTATGCCAACCTTTAATTTAATATTTAAAAAACTTTATAAATATATTATCATGTTCTTTCAGCATTACTGAATAATTAAGTTTTCACTCAAGATATTTCTACACGAGGGTGATTAGAAATAATACTTTTTTTCTTCTCTTCATTGTTTTTATTTTTTTTTATCAGATTAATCTGTAAAAAAAGAAGCTATTTTAAGGTCAAACTGTTATCTTTTCTGATTGGTAGAGAGAGTAATTTCTTTCACCCGGTTTAGACAAGTACAACGACAAAGTAAATTCTTTTCTCTTCTTTTTTTATTTTTAGACAGAGTTAATTTTATCGTTTGCAAAATTTTCATTCTTTAAGAAAATCAAATCATTCTATAGCTACCAAAGAGCTATTTAATTGTTTCTGTCAGAAAAAAATTTAAGAGAATTATTCTTTACTTATTAAACAAACTTTCAACAAAAAAGATATAGAATCAAATTTATCAGTTCTGATTATGATTTTAACAGAATAGAAATTGATAAAAAAGAAGAATGACTAAAGATAATTTACCCTAGAAACAGAAAGGCATCCATTTATGATTGGAAAACTGAAAATATTTTCCATAAGAACTACTATGACTCGTTTAGCGTCATAAAGGTTTTCATGAACAGGTAAAACTTTTTGTTCTACACTCATTTTGAATTCAAAAGTAATATATTTCAGTAAATGGTTATTTTCTGAGTCAATTTGTCTTCATTATTTTTGAGTACAGTAAAGAAAAAAAAATAATAACCTAATTTTTTTTAAAAAAAATTTCTCGATTTTTTCTTTGGACTGTAATTGTTAATACACTTTAAAAAATTATTAAAAAAGAGAATGTTCTGAATAGGTAATCATTCTCGAGACTAACTGCGCGTGAATGAAAACTCTTGTATGTGGTGACTTAAGCGACATTTATTTGGTTTACATTTACTTATACAGTCGGACCTCCATTTAACGAAGTTCGTTGTATGGAAAATTCGTTCAATAGAAAATTCCCATTTAAATACTTGAACAACACAAAACAGGTATAAATACCAGACATAATTAAAATAGCAATGGATAAACCTTTTTCTTTTAAAAAATATTATCTACTATCGAATTATTTCAAATGATTTTATCATATAAGAAGGTTTGTTGATTTCCGTTCTCCTTACAATTTATTGCTGTATTGTTTATATTTTTCACGTTGTCCAAATTATCCGATATTTAATTCATGTTTCCAGCTTCAGAATCAACGAAAAGAAAATTATTCATCCTTAATTTCGTGGTTCTCTCTTAGCTGTACCCATATTAAGTTCTTCCTCAAGGAATGTCATCCTCCGAATTTTCTACGAGCTGCCTAAAAATCCAGCTTTGGCAAAACGTATGATTTGTCACATCATAGTTCCACGCATTAGAAATTTCTGTTCTCGTCAATTCATTTTTGGCGTCATGGATTCCTGTATGAAATGCAAACAAAAAGGGATTTTACCGCTTTCTCTAAATAAACCCCATAAAATGCTTCAACACGTTTGAAATGTTAAACAATATTTTGTAAAATAAGAAAATTTCGATCAAATTGATTCGATTGATTTTTTTCAAAATTCGATTGATTTTTTTATTTATTGGCCTTAAAGTCATGGAATCGAACAAAAGGTTGATAAACATCCCAAGTGTTTTTTCAACCGCTTTTCCCCATTGGTGAACATTTTTTTCTTCTTGATTTGACTACATCTATTGTAAGTTTCATGACAAGGCGGTCATAATGGAGCAATAAAGGTGAAAGGCATAATCTCCACTATAGAATTTTAGATAAAAATGTCTTACCTTTTTGAATAATTTTAAAAAAAGTTAATATGAGAAAAATTTTGAAATAAGTTAATATGAGAAAAATATTGAAAAAAGTTTATAATATTGAAAAAAGTATTGATAAAAGTGTATTTAAAATATTGATATTGTTAATATTGAAAAAAGTTTGTATTGATATCAGTTTGTTGAAATATATTAATATTGAAAAAAGTTTTACGAATCCCAGAATCATTATGGGGGTGTCTTCAAATTTAATTAGGCAGTCAAACTGATCACATTTTCCTTTAAAGAAATGCAACTCGGTGCAATATGCCTATTTTTTAAAAAAAAATTCATTTCTAACGGGAAAAATACATAAAGGGAGGTGACACTAATTTTAGTTACTCATGTAAAATAAACAATGATCGTGAGAATGTTTTGCTCTTAAAAACCTTTAAACACATATTTATTATAACCCTTCTTTAAAAATAATTTTATTTAGTTAATTTTTTAAACTGCGTTCAAAGTGTTAAAGGGTGTGTGAAACAACGTAATACAAATCGACACACCATTATTAATAACAACACTATGATAATTATTGAGTGTATTTAGGGAACCAACAATATGTACAGCGAGAGATAAAATGAAACAATTTTAGTGTTATCGGTTCATGGTGAGGATAATTTAGAGTCGCCAACAATGCCTGGCCATAATAACATTACTTATAGCATGAGTCGATATATATTAAGTAAATTTATTAAGATTTTTGTTAACTCAGATAGACTTAAGGAGGAAAAAATGTGAGAACCNACAACAACCAGAGTGAGCATTATCAGGTTGCTCCATTCAGCTGCGATAATCTCATACTATTAAGCTAGGCAGAAGTGAGTAGTAGATCTCTATTTTAGTATTTTGTCGAAAGCGCTTTTCTGAAGTACTTTGTACTACTAAATAAGATTCTTTTCACAACACTTAAATATTTACTTTATTTTCTTCAATTATAGAGAAAACAGTCGGCAAAGAATTCTGTTAGGTAAAAAAACATTTCGCTAAAAAAAGAACGAATTCTAAAAGAAATAAAAATAAACAACTTAAAAAATAAAAATGCTGTTGCCAGCCGTAGAATTTTTTGAAAGTTAACTTAGCAACATAAATCAAAATAACATAGAAGCGCAACTAGATCAAAATTATGATACCTGAGCGCTTGACGTAACAAATCCTTCAATTCTATAAGTGTTGTATCACCAAATGCCCAAATTAACAATTGCAATTTCAAATTAATATTGAAATGTACAGGTTTGGAATTTTCTACAGTGAAAAGTTTTCGGAACTTCAATATTCAAAAAAGTATACAAAAGCTAGACGTTAAGAACGTGTCCAATGAGCGAGCATAGCGAGCATTGGATTGCGAAGCAATCCGAAATGAACTGCGAAAGCAGTTCCGGGGGTTGGCGAGCGCCAGCAAGTAGGGGGCGGAGCTTCCTAGTTATTAATAACTAGGAAGCTTCGCCCCCTACTATGATAATTATTGAGTGTATTTAGGGAATCAACAATATGTACAGCGAGAGATAAAATGAAACAATCGGTTCATGGTGAGGATAATTTAGAGTCGCCAACAATGCCATTACTTATAGCATGAGTCGATATATATTAAGTAAATTTATTAAGATTTTTGTTAACTCAGATAGACTTAAGGAGGAAAACAATGTGAGAACCCTTAGGCCGAATCAGGATCGTGGTCCAGACCGAAATTTGTATTAAAAAACTTTTAAATTTATTTCCAGGATCTAATCGATACGCGCGAAATTTGATGATTCTAACATAATTAAATAAATGCGGCTTTTTCGATTTATTCTTTTCTTCAGAGTTATAGATTGCGAATGGAAGTTTCTCTGTGTGTCCCACCCTATGAACTGTGTGTTGTGGTCACAAGGCAATGAGCAACTTCTTTCAGTGCCGTTAAGAAAGAAAGTAACTTCATTAAACACAATCTTTGTAAATTATTACAAAAATATTTTAACTTGAAGTCATTTTGGTGTTAGCGATAATTTTAAAAATCGCGCATAGTTCTTACCAAGAAAATCTATTATTTAGAATGTGTAAAGATTGAAAGTAACTGAGAAGGAGGAGATCATCCGAGCAGGACTATTTTTGTCGCCGATTATATGTTTTAGATGGATACATGTTTAGTTTAGATGTGCTGCCTTAAATTAAACAGCTCTTTGTGATAATTTAAGATGTGTTACTTTCAATATCTATCCATCCGGTCACGACGAGGTTTTACTGTATGATTCAAATAGAATACAAAAGAAATTTACTAATTAACATAAAACACTTAACAATCATTGATTGATCGTTTTACAATTATTTCTGTGCCCCAAAACCCATTATTTGAAAAAATAAATATTAAAAAAAAAACAGAACTGTAGAAGATAGAATATTCTATGTTTCAGTTAGAATATTATAAATATTTATCGATATTTTTTATAAAAATATCTGGAAAATAACCACACATATCTGGAAACATGAATTCATTCTTTTTTATACTTAGTATTTATTCATAAATTTACCCATTTAAAATACTCTACTTCAAAAACATTACTGAAATAATTGCATTTTGTTCTACAAACAGAATTAGCTTAAAAGTAACTAAACTATGAATAATTATTAGACAAAAATATAAAATTTGAATACAATATCTTACATTACAATATTAACCTATCAGAAATAAAAATAAAAAATGTTCAAAAGATTTGAGTCAAAATCCTGTTTTTTTTTTTGTTTTGCGTACCTAAAACGGAAATTAATTTATTGTTAAAAAGAACAGTCAAAGTACAGTAAAGACTTATATGTCTTGGATAATTTAATTTCAGCATTGACATTTAGTGCACAATCGCCTTTCCTGAAAATACATAATCAATCGTAGTAGAAATTATTTTTAAAATCTGTTCAACAATGAAAATATTTTGCTAGTATTGAGATAACTTTGAAAACACTTATTTATTTAAAGATTCACAAATACATGAAGGTACTCATTACAAAGTGTTGTCAAGTTTAGAAAAAGACAGGACTTTATTTACGTGGCACTAGTTTGTTCGTTCACGTTGCACTAGAGCTGCACAATGGGCTATTGGCGACGGTCTGGGAAACATCCCTGAGGATGATATGCTGGATTCGAACCCGGTTCACCTCATTGGAAGGCGAATCCCTTGAGCGATCATGGCTCACAGTGGGCTATTGGCGACGGAAACCACTCAAGAATTGTCTTCTGCAGAAGTTCCTCCCCTTTATGATCGTTCAGTTCAACGATACCACTGTCCCCTCGCAGACTGGTCAAAGCAGTCAGTGATGATTGTCTTTCTGGACTGATCAGTCACTGTGGGACCGTATTTCACGAGAGAATCCTCTAGAGGGACCATTCACTGTATGCTATAAGGTTCAAAGAGGAAACAGATATGTAACTTTATTTCGTCCACATTAGGTCACAGAATTAAAACATTTAATTTAGTGCGTGTTAATAATGCATTAAAAAAGGAACTGCAATAATGGTACCGAAGTGAACTGATCGTAAAGACAAGGTTCTAAGTAAAACACGGAAGTCAAGCATCACTGGCTGCTGTCAGTAAGCGGGTGGGTGACCACTTTGATCAGCCTGCGTAGAGATCGAGGATGCGCGATATCTGTCTTCGTTAAACTGTTCTACCGTGAAATGCTCAACTTCGCACGCAAATCGTCGGGCTACCAAAGCAGGGGAGCTCTCTCCTCTGCAGAGGATCAAAATAGTGATGGAATATATTTGGATCATCATCAGGGATGTTGCCCAGACCGTCGCCAATAGCCAATTGTGCAGCTCTTGCGTGACGTTTGTAACATACATACACGAGGCCTAATGTATGTTATAAATCTGGAGAAATAGATAGCATATAACATCTGTCCGCTTTTTTTGCTATACTGTTTTCTTTATGGATCGAGTTTTATTTTTGCAGCATCCATGACAGGCAGGGAACCAGAGTTGCTAATTATCGATACTGATGGTGGAGGGGACGATGCAGTTGCAATTTTGCTCGCTCTTTCAGACAAAAGTGTGGCGAAAACACTTGCCATAACGTGCTGCTTTGGAAACACAAGTTTAGATAATGTCTGCTCAAATATCTTGAAATTGCTGCACCTTTGCAACGAGAAGCAGGTAAGAACTTTCTTGTTCTATTATAAAAGAAAAACATTTAGGGGTACTACTAAATAGGAACAAGAAACCTTTCTTTGAATATTTTTTAGCTGTGACGTTTGGTTACAAAATCTGATAAATCCACTTAGTAAAAGTTTTACATCTCTTTGTCAATGTTTAGCCTGTTCCAGGGCTCGAAAAAACTCAGAAATTTTACCCGTCCCCGAGGACGGCTTGTCCAACAATGTACCCGTCCTCCTTTGAAACTAACCCGCCGCTTCTAAATAAATAAAAATATAATTTTCTCTTATTTATTACAAACATTTATATAAATTGCACAATTAATTAGTTGCTACTAGGATTACATTATACAGTAATAAAAGAAATACTAGGTTACTAATAGTATTTCTATTATTTTATATAGTATTTCTTTTATGAAATAATTTAAATGACGAAGGTCAAGTTATCTGGAATGTCAATTTATCCGAGGGTTCTGCGCTTTCTAAATGAATCAAATAGGACGTTTGCCAGTTCCACAATCATGCCAATAATATACAGAGGTTTCTGCACAGAAATCTGAAAGGGGTTTTCTATTTAGGTAGATGTTCATAATTGCGTTTAACGTTTCTTGTTTAAGATCATTACGTAATGTGTTTTTTTTTTAAAGTTCATTGCTGAAAAGCCCCTTTCAACCGCTGAAGTACCCCCAGACGGAGAAAACATCAATTCTAATGACAAAAATTGAAAATGTATCACGAACATCAGCGGGAAAATGGCAGCCCGCGCGGACGTCGGATTCGAGAAATTCGTTGTCCGCGGGGAATTTTTGGCCGCCGAGGATGGGCGGACGGGCGGTTTTTCGAGCCCTGGCCTGTTCTAATCTTTAGTCAATTTTTAGATTCGAGAAATACGAATGCATACGTATGTAAATTTATTCATAACTGTAAGAAGTTGCGCAAAAATTTAAAATTTTTTAGTATGTATGATATTAAGGTACGTTTTAAGAAAAAAAATTTTTTTTTCAAAATTATTCTTTTTTCCACGGTAGGCACTGCGTCCTTCACCTTGGAAGATGCCGGAAGTGTAGCTCATTTAGCGTTACCCGGTGGGCACCTGTGAACCTAAGTCACCGGAGGCGAGCAATATTACCCACGCCACAGATATCCGTTTATAGGGTGGGCCACATTCACACAACGGGGAACAACACACAGAGCCCTAAGCGGGATTGGAACCCGCAACCACAGTCAGGCACGTTTACCGCTCGGCCACCTGTTCAAAATCATAGAATGTGAAAATATCCAAAAACAGAACCTAAATTTAGAGACGTGGAGAGAGCATCCTTTTTAAGAAACACTTCTCATCTCAGTTGCCTTATTGTACAAAATCCGTTTTTATTGTAGATTCCAGTGCACAGAGGCAGCAAAGGACCACTTTTAAAATCTCAAGTCGAATTGAATGTGTTCGGAACAGATGGTTTCGGGAATGTAGCACATGAATTCTCGACTGGGAGTCTGGAAGAATCTGACCTACCCGCATCTTCTGCTCTGATTACCCTAGCAAGGAAATATCCAGGAAGGATACATTTGATAGCTATAGGCCCTCTTACTAACATATCTATAGCCCACAGGATAGATCCAGATTTCACGAAGAATCTGAAATCCATATTTTGCATGGGTGGAAACTATAAATGTAAGTTATCTGGAGAAAAAAAAAAGTTGGTATAAACACAACAGGTATGTTAAAATTACCGGAGATTTGGAAAATCGCTCAAAGCTAAACAGAAGTTGTTAGTTCGTAGTGTTATGTTACGGAAACCAGTTTGTTCTGACCACGCTTTAAAATGAGTCAGGGCCGCCTTAATAGCATGCAGTACCCCGGGCACAAAAATGCTTTGGGACCTTATAACAGATCATACTACTTAAAATCGAACTAAAAAACTTCCATACATTAAATAAAGCATTTTTGACACATGCATTAATTTGAACAAATTTAAATGATTACCCCAAAAAACTGAATCCACATAAAAACTTCATTAGAAAGTAGAAAATTAGCCTTTTTAATTTTTCTTGGGGATAAACTTATTCAAATTATTGTTCTTTGTATGATAATCAATCACTATTTGTAGAAAGAAAAAACAAAATAGAATATATTTATTTTAAAAAATATATAAGGCCATTTTGTTTTTTCTTAGTTTTTTTAATTACAATTTATAAAAAGTAAGATTCTCAAGGGCCCCCCTGAGTGCTTGGGGCCCTCGGGCGGGTGTTCCGATGCGTAAAGACGGTACTGAAATGAGTTACTAAAATTGTCAACAGATAGAGGTGGTAACTGAGAATAGCTATAAGTTTCATCAACAGAGCAGCATTCTCTAAGGGCTATATCACGTGGAATGTTCTAACATGGAATAGAAAGCGTTGGTTTATTGTTTTCTAGTGAAGCGCGTCTTTTGTTGGAGAACGTTGAAACTAATTTGGGGAAGATAAATTGTTTGCCTTCCTAAGCAGAAAACGACAAACCATACATTTCTATCTCCTTCTGTTTTTCTTTTTCAGATTCCAAAGACTGTCGGTCATTTTTGAGACATTCAAGCTGTTAAGTTTTGCGTTCATCACTCTCCAAAAAAAATTTTTTATTCCTATTTTGAATGGTAGTAGATAATAATGATTTTTCTTCTTTCAGGTGTTGGAAATATAAGTGAAGTAGCAGAATTTAACTTCTACTGTGACCCTGAATCAGCGCACATCGTTTTAACTGAAGCACAGTGTCCAGTTACACTTATACCTTGGGAGACAGTTCCGGAATTCGGAATCACTTGGGTAAACTTTATAGATCTTTTTTCTTCTCAATTAACAAATGCGCATTCTTGTTTGCGTCATCTTGTAAGGGTGACTGTAATAGATGATTTGCAACACGCTCATACTTCTCTGACGATATTCAAACCAAAATGAGATCTGCTCATCTGGCTGGCCATAGAGTCTAAAGAATATCTGGCTAACACAAGCATGAATTAAATAAAAACATATTCACCTTATTCTTCTCTATTATCAGCAGATGACAGTACAATAAGAGGCGTTTATGACTTCCTCTTGATGATCCGAGCTCCAATGACGTCATAGATTGCAGTTCATTTACGTCGCACTTAGAGCTGCACAACGGGCTATTGGCGACGGTCTGGAAAACATCCCGGAGGATGATCCGAAGACATGCCATCACAATTTTGAACCTCTGCGGAAGGGATGGCACCCCCGCTTCGGAAGCCCGACGACCTGCGCGCGAAGTCGAGCACTTTACGGTAGCACAGTTTAACGAGGACCAATACCGCACACCCTCGGTCCCTACGCAGACTGATCCAAGTGGTCACCCACCCGCACACTGACCGTAGCCAGTGATGCTTGACTTCGGTGATCTGCTGGGAACCGTTCTTAACGATCAGTCCACTGCGGGACCACTTAGAGCTGCTCAATGGGCTATTGGCGGCGGTCTGGGAAACATCCTTGAGGATGATCCGAAGACATGCCATCACAATTTTGATCCTCTGCAGAGGGGGTGTCACCCCCGCTTTGGTAGCCCGACGACCAGCCCTTTACGGTAGAACAGTTTAATGAGGACCCATACTGCACACCTTCGGTCCCAACGCAGACTGATCCAAGTGGTCACCCACCCGCACACTGACTGCAGCGAGTGATGCTTGATTTTGTATGACGTCTCAAGAGGACTGCAAGAAAAAATAAAAAAACTTTTGAAATTTGTTAATTAGTTTGAAAATTTAGATTTTCGTTGAGAATAGTTTCTTGTTCGTAATTAAGGTTTATACTAATCCGTTATTTCTATTTATTTTTGCTTTGTTGATGTGTCAAATAAATGCACTTCTATTTAAAAAAAAAACTGTTTCTTCAATATACACATGCGGCCCTTCATCTAGTAAGATGGTGAGCTCTTATAACTTTATTTGCATTTCTGAAGAGCATGGGTATGGCTTTCTCGATAGAGGGTAACAAACACAACTTCTACTTGATTAAAAGTTTAATCGTCCACAAATTTTAAGTTTTGTTTCTAAATTCTAATGATAGCTGATATCAGTAACAATTATACAATAGACAACATAAAAAAATGATTGAAGTTAAAAGCATTAACCTCAATTTCCCAACTTTTCTAACTCTAATAGCTGCAAACCACATGGACATGTAGGGTACTCTTGTATAGGTACTTTTTAGTACCTATGAGAGCCTGGGGAAATGCTTCATTCTGACAGTCCAGAGAGGCACCACAAGGCGACTAAATATAAGAACCATCCGCACCACTTCTTTCCTCAAAAATGCGCATTTTGAAAATATCATGAATATTTTATATTATTATATACGCTTGTTTCTTAAACTATTTTAGAAGCAAACCTCATAATGTTTACCTTTTTTTTAAGGAATGTACAGTATTAAGTATTTTTAATCGTTAAAAATTTTCAATTTTCGAAAAAAGTGGCCACATGTTTAAAAAAAGTGATCACTAGAAAAATTTTGATTTACAATCAAAGATACCAACAATTGTGATCTAGGTTTATTTTCACCAAACAAGACTCTCTAGGGCTGGGTAGCCTGGCTGGTAGGGCACTGGGCCCATGTCTGAGAGTTTGTAGGTTCGACCACAGGCCGGCCAAACACTCCCCGTGCAGTAAATGGTTACTGATACGCATTAAATTTGTCGAGTCGCAAAGTCCTCCACGTTCCCCTTACAAATCAATACCTTTGGGGGTACTGATCCAGGAGTTGTCTTCTGGATGGGTTCAAAATGACAAGGCTACGGAGTTGAACATTAGTAGTCATCGACTGTTCAACGACGGTTATAAAAATGAAATGAAACTAACACTATAATATTAAATACTACCACTATAAATTATAACTACCACTATAAATATTAAATACTAATTCACTAGTATATAAGACATGTTAACTTGATTCTATCATGAGGTACCTTTTGATAGATGAAGGTTGGCAATAGTTGATAAATTAATCCCTTCAACTCTAGCAGCTATAATAAAGTGATCACCTCATTATATTTAGGTTTCCTGCTATTGAACACTGGGCTTCATTATTTTGGTACAAACAAATTAATCCAACTGCATGACTAAGTTATTATTTTCTCTCCATACTAAGCAAAATCAAATTTTAGCTGAATTTAGGAACTCCCTAACTATGAACATAAAAGGCACGATAAAAAGTGTTCAAGCTATGAAATTATTGGTAAACAGAATGCATGAAGTTGGCCACCTCTGCCATATAATTTCGTAAATGTTATTCTGCGATGATTTAGAATTTGTACGTTATATCTAATTTATCAGGTTTTGCAGGATATCTATGAAGAACTAATGGCAATACAAACAACAAAAGCCCAGTTTGTGAAACGCATCAACGAGTTCTATGTGGTGCGTTCCAAGAAGAAAGGCAACAAACGATACTGTGATTGTGATTTCCTGGCAGTAGCGTCCTTACTGTATCCCGAATGTATATCAAACAGCCTCGATAGTGCAGTTGCGGTAGAATGTAATGGTTTTTACACTAGAGGGATGACGATTCTTATAAGAGAAAACCATCATTCAGATAAGTGTGGAGTTTCACTCAGACAGCGGAAAATCAGAATTATTACAGGTTTTAATGAAGAGGTCCTTAATAAATTGAGATTTCAATTGTTACGGTAAATAATTGTTTGTTCTGCATATTTTAACAATAAATTTTTATTTATACCGATGCTAAGCTGATTCAATTATTGCCTTTTTGCTCTGTAGTAATAAAGACTTTAAACATCTTTTACAAATAACTTGGTCATTTTCAATACCTAACAAGAATCATACTTCCCCCCGAGGCAAAATTGCAGCGACATTGCCGCAGATCGTTACAGAGAAAGGATCCTTCCTGCATAAATTTTCGAAAAATAATTTTTTCTGTAGAATTTCTTTTCAAAGATGTTTTTCTTGAGCATTAGAGAGGAAAGAAATAAGATTTAAAAAAAAAATAAAAATTGGTAATGACTAGCTTCAGCTAGAATTTTAAATTAACAATATAAAATAAAAAAGTCATAAATCACGAAAGTTTAAATGATAGTTCGCTCTAGAAATGATGTTCTTTTCTTTCATTTTTTTTCTTTAAAGAACACCATCCTATTATATCAGTATCTCTTTTTTGTGATTCATGATCTATATCTTGGGAGTAACTGAACGGATTTTATAAATTTTAATTTATTATCATTTAATTTATTTACGAATTTTAATTTGCGTAATGATTTACAAAATTAGAAAGAGGTAATAATTCTGCCTACAAAATGCGAGAATATCGCCTTTAATATTAGAATTAGAAAAATATTACTTTTACAATTGAAATTTTTCATACATTTTTATGCTATACTTTCTTCTGCAAACACAACGTTTCTGTTACTTTAAATGAGTAATTGTTAGAATTAAAAGTATCTTAAAGCAAAATATATTAGTGTTAGGGAAGTTTGTCGCAGAAAGCCCGAAAAAATTCTGCTACAGGTCATAATTCTTCATCCTACAAAATAATACCTAACATAACTACAGAAGTGAATTTATTAAAAACACTAGAAAAACGGTAATAGAGTATGGGGAAAAGTAGCATTTTGAATTTGAATAAAAAATCACCATTTTCTATATTTATTGTAATACAAAGTTTGTTTATTAAGAAAATAGCCAATAGAATTGTTGTTATAAAAAATGTGCAGAGTAGGGAAAAAATAGCCTATGTTTAAGTTTTAAACTATGAGAATGAAAAGTTTTACTCAAGAATGTCTGATAATCACTGCTGCAATAATGAAAATCTGCAACATCTGTGTAAGAACAAAAATTATTATATGAAACTGTTACAGAGTTTGCAAATCTTAATTGTATATTTAATGCATAAGAAAAAAAACAACAATGCTTACAGTTAGGTTTGCCTAAGTATAGGAAATAAAAACATAATTTTTAATATCAGAGTATTGAACTAAAATTTAATATTTATAGAATAACACAAGGTTACACGTTAATACTTGTTAAGTTTTTAAATACTTTTTTAGAAAACATAATGAATTGCAAAAACATTAAAAATTATAAAGCATGGTAACATTCAAGAAAATCAATTGGATTTATTTGTATTATATTTACAAAGATCTATTTTAAATTTAAAAAACAACCTAAAAAAGTAATAATTAAAGTCCAGCTCCTCCTTTGCAAGGGGGTGATTCCTTTGTTTCTACCTTGCCCTTTATTTCTGTGGGTGATATAGCCTATAAAAGTTTTCAAAAAAAAAATCAAAACAGCATTATTTAAAATTTGATTTCAAACTCATAAAATATAATTGTAAATAACACAGTGAATGTGCCAGCTTATTAAGAAATTGTGCCAACTTACTCAAAAATATTTTGAGGAAAGAGTATTTTTCAATTTCTGTTTTTGGTGCATTTTCTAAATTATGTCTTTCTTAAAGTAATTGACTTAGCGATTTGACAATATATTTTTGACACAAATAAAGGTAGAACAGTAGCAAGAACATTAGTGTTGAAATACAGTCATTGGTTACTCTTGCCCTAAATTACAGATTAGAAGAACCACGCGTGTGTAATAATATACACACAACAAAATATAAGTCCAACACCCAAAACAGAGGCTCTTTTTTAATATAGAAATATTTTATCACTCAAACCTATATAATATAAGAATTAATAACATTGATAAAAAAAATCCATTCGATCAAATTCCATTAAAAAAATTCCTCCTTTTTTTTTTCCTTTCAGAAGTTTTTTTCTTCGTGGAACTCTTAAGTATTCTGAAATTCAAATAAATCAGAAATTTTTAAGGTATTTCATTTCAAGGGAGGGTGTATAATAAGAGGCATATTAATAAAATTAATTAAAGCATTAACATGCAGATGATACTAATTCCACTGTTTCCAAATAGATAATTATTTGCATAGACTCAACATATGGCAATTATATAATCTCTATCAAACTATTCTTTACAGTTTTAAGGGCAACCACTGTTAGTTAAAATTGTACATCTTTAAATAGAAAGTGTTAACACGATCTCGATCAACGTCTTTTAAAGACCAAATGTTTTTGACGAGTTACCTCTTCATTGAACTTGCAATGTTGAGTTAACTCGCGATTGGATTATAATGTTTAGGCATGAACCAGAGATAACTGTGTCCCGGAAAAAAAATCAGGATTTCCAGATTTTTCGCTAATTGCGATCCGGAAGTTTCCGAAAATCCAAGCTCCAGAAGTTTCAAAAAATCATCGATTACATTTATGTTTAAAAATTCTTTTATATTTTATTTAAAAATACTAGAATTTATATTTAGCATCTCTTTCATTTGTATATATTTTTTCTGGTAGAATAATAAATGTGAATTAGAGATAAAAGTAAACCTATACATAATTATTCATTTAAATTATACTGCATATAATTTATTTAGAATTTCATATTTTGAAAATATCAATGATTTTAATTTATGAAGACATTAATTTTTTGAAATATGTCATTAATGATTTTACTCAAGAAATTTTTAGGTTTTTTGACTCACCCCTGACGAAATCAATATTTAGAATGTTTTACTCCATATTTAATTACAAAATGATCACTTGTGAGAATGACATTCTGTTAAAAAATATATGTTTCCAGGATATTTTATTTATTTATTTTAGAGACGTTATATGAGGGCTCACTTATTATGTCATTAAAGTCATATGTTTAAGACAACACAATAAAATTATCTTACATTTTTAAAAAATTTAAGTTTTTAGTAGAAATTTAAGTTTTTTACAGTAAAAACATTAAAAAAATAAATGTATACATTTTTTATCTAAACAATATATAAATTTTGCTTCCACTTAAAAAACACCTAAAAAAAAAGTGTTGGCAAAATCAAAGTCACACATACAATCAGTATTAATGTAACAAATTTTGATAAGATAAAATGCCAAGAAAATTGTAACAAAAATATTAAAAATCAATAATTATCTTAAACAAATTTAATAAGTAAGTGAAATGCATTATAAACTTTTAATTAAAATTATAAGATAATTAAATAGAATATCTCTAGGAATATAAATCTAAAAAAAAATGTTATATTGACAGTAAATATTGAAAAGTTAATTTTAACACAGAAAAAATGTTTGCTGAAACCGAATTCTAAAATTTTGAGAAGAAATCTATAGCAATTTAGCATGGTAATAGTAATAGAACTAGAGTGTTACATAAATTAATTAGTACAAGTTAATTAATATCACTTCTTTCTCTCTCTTTAAAAAAAACTGTTGAAAAGTAATTTTAATTAAAAAGAATAGGCAATTTTTTTTAAAAGCTGGGAAAAACCATAAACAAAAAAAGCAAAACTATATTTTTTCACAATTTATAATTTTTTTTAATAACAATATAAATAAATAGTTGTTTTCATACTTTTTTTTATAATTATATTTCTACAATTAAAACAATTTAATTTTAGGACATTAAAAAAGAGCTAAAAAATAAATGGAAAATTAACTCCTTTTTTTTGCAAAGAAAAAAAAGTATTAGTTCTTTCTTTCGCCTCTAAGAAAACTGTTGGAAAATAACTGTAATTTAAACAAAATAGAAAAATTTAAAAAATTTTTTTTTTTTTTTTTAAAAAGTTGAGAAAAACCTACCAAAGTAACCAGCCAAAGTAATATTTTTTCACAATTTATAATTATTTCTTTAATTGTATAGTAAAAATATAAATAATGATATAAATAACAACATAGTAAAAACATTGTTTTATTGTGTTTCAATTATATACTAATATTATATTATATATTAATATTATCTAATTTTCAATACATTAAAAAAGAGCAAAAAGACAAATGAAAATATAATTAGTTTTTTGAGGGGAAAAAAAAAGGTATGAGGATGAGATCTTTCTTTCTCCTTAAAAAAAATTTTTAAAAATTTGTTTTAATTAAAATATTGGAGAACTATTTTTAATTTGCTTTAAAAGTTGGAAAAAAACCCTATATGAACAAACTATATTTTTCACAATTTATAATTAATTTTTTAAAAACAATACGAAAAATAATATCATAAAAAAAATAACTGTATAATTTTTTAATAATTATGTTTCTACAATTGAAATTCCAATTTTCAATACATTAAAAAAGAGCTAAGAGATAAATGAATTTTTTTTTTTTTTTTTTTTTTACAAAAAAAGCATCAGTTCTTTCTTTCTAATTTAAAAAAAGCTATTGATAATAATCTTAATTAAAAAACAATAGACAGCTTTTTTAGTTTCTATTTTAAAAAGTTGAAATCGACAAAACTATATTTTTTCCCAATTTATAATTATTTTTAATAAGAATATAAATAAATTGCATAATAAAAATATAAATAATGACTTTAATATAATAACAATATTGTTTTTATATTTTTTTACTATTTAAATTTCTACAATTAAATTTTCAGTACAATAAAAAAGAGTTAAAACACTCATGAAAAATTTATTAGTTTCTTACAAAAAAAAAGGTTTTCTTTCTCCTTTAAAAAAACTGCTGATAAAAATTTTAATTAAAAAAATAATAGAACTATTTTTTGTTTGTTCTTAAAATTAGAAAAAAACTATACAGAGAAAAACATTTTTTTTCCAGAATACATAATTAATTTTTAAATAATAATATAAATAAATTGTATAATAAGAATATGAATAATGATATCAATACCAATATAATAAAAATATTATTTTATAATTTTTTAATAATTCTATTTTTACAATTAAAATAATATATTTTCAATATATGAAGCAAAGAGCTAAACGACAAACGAAAATTCATTTTTTTATGAAAAAAAAAGAACCAATTATTTCTTTCTTATTAAAGAAAAATATTGGAAAACAATTTTAATTAAAAAAAAAACAAAAAAAACAAAACAATTTAACTATTAATTACCTGTTTTAAAAGTTGGAAAAAACTCTATACAAACAAAACTATATCTTTTCACACTTTATAAATATTTTTTTAAAACAATACAAATCAGTTGTATAAGAACAAAATGAATAAATTCTTTACCAAGACTATAAATAACAATATAGCAAAAATATGTATATACATATATTTATTTAATGATTATATTTCAACAACTAAAATAACATAATTTTCAATGCATGAAATAAATTTAGGTATAACTTACATCTATGGATAAAGCATGAATGGGTCCTTTTAATTCAGTCTGAAGCACATCATTAACTAAGCGATGTCTCTGGAAAAAAAAATCTAACAACATTAAAAACTAACAGACAACCACAAAGTTAGAAATAAACAAAGGTTAAAAATGAAGAATACTTAGCCACTGGTCTAAGGAACCAGTAACAAAAAGGTCCATACACATTTTAATTGGTCTATTTACATATCTTTATTGTGTACAGATCATTTAAAAAAAATAATTTAATAAAATATATAAAATGTTTATAAAATATAAAATTTTTATAAAAAAAATAAGCGAATTTAATTAAATTACAATGATTACCAATGTAAAGTAGTTGTTACTACCATTAAATTGCTTTATTAATTTTCTTAGAGGAAAAATAGAGTTTAATAAATACATAGGCACAGACCAGTGAAAATGTGCACGGAATAATTATACCTTTTAGTGAGTGGACTAAATTTCTTTCATTTCTTACCCCTGCATTTAATATGGATTGGTTAGGTTATTTAATTTGTTTATCTGCCACTTTAAGTATTTTCAAATTTTGTTTTTTATTACTTTCACATTGCATTACTTTTATAAAGTTAGAATTATATCATGTTATGTTGTGTTATAATGAGCTTTAACAGAATTAATATACATACTTTTTTTTTCATCAATTGCAATATAATAACTTATTAATCACGAAAAATTATAATTTTGATAATATTATTAAGGAAATAAGAATGCAATTCTATAGCTCAACAAAGATTACATTATCAACCAATTCGTTAGTCACCACAGTGATTCCAAATCTGGACTGTTTCTCAGAAAAGTATTAATAGTGTTAAGTAATTGTTAATTTCAAATTATATAGATATTTTTTAAATGTACCATTTAGGTAAACAGCACTTAATTTAAAATTAAATTTAATATTAAAATTTAACAGTTGAAAAAATAAATTTAAAAAAATATATAAGTACAAAATATTGAAATTGGGGAAAACCATTCTAAGAAGATATCATGAAAAGAAACTATATATCAATATAAAACAGCCTTTTTTTAATAATGTCTTTTTTATTCTTTTCTTTGTTAACTTTTGAACAACATTTTACTAAATTGAATAAATAGGACTTGGAGTCAAGCAAATTTTTCATACTTCTTTGGAAAAAAAAATTTCTGACCCGTACTCTACACAGGGTATCTGTTATATTTTAGATTTTCAAATCCATTACTTTTCGTGCCTGATTCCAAGAATATTTCATGACTTAAGGAGGTTACTATTTTCTCTGACAAAAACACAACAATAAATTTAAAAAAGCATTACAGCAACATTCATTGAAATGATAGGTATAACCAAAACTGTTATACTCTGCATCTACATATTTATAGATATTAAATTTAAAAAACAGAGGAAAGAAAGAGTTGAAGCAATAAAATAGCTGGAAAAAAAAGCAAAACATTTTTTTTCTTTTTGCAGAATTATATTCTAAAAGATACTTTTCTTGTTCATCAGAAAGGAAAGAAAAACTCCTGATTTTTCTGTTTTCATTTAATAAAAAAAAATTGCCAATGACTGGCTTGCTTTCGCTAGAATTTTAAACTGATAAAAAAAAATAATAATAATAAAAATTCTGAAATCGCAGAAGTTTGAAAGATAATTTGCTCTAGAAATGATGTTTTTTCTTTCATTTTTTGAAAGGACATCATAATTTTTAAAGAACAGGAAAGAAAAAAAACATTTTATACTTTAATAAAATATGACTGTGAGTGGGGATTTTGTTAGAAATTCAGATATTTGGAACACCATGAAATTGGATTAAACATTAGATTTTTTGGCAACCTAAATCCATGACTTTCTTTAAAACAATAGTCAAAATCAAGACATTTTATGACAAACTTTGTTCAAAATTCATGACTTTCCAGGTGTGCAGCAGATACCCTGTCTACATCTAAATGACAACTTTGCAAATTTTAAAAACATTAAGACTGATTTTTGATCATTTGGTTGCACATTTAGAAGTTTTTCTTTTAAAAAATAGTTTTAACAGTACTTCATAAAAAAGGTATTATATAGCAACTTTCATACAAAACAATATTCTTTTTTTTTCTTTTAATATTAATGATACTTGTTAGTTTCAAACTTTAATCTTTTTAAACTTTAAGTGCTAATAGTTTCATAAAGTTAACAAGCATTGATAAGGACATTTGAATTTGAAAATAAATAAATAAATAAAATTATTTCATCTGGTTCAAAATTATTTTCTATTTCATTATATATAATATTTTCATCTGGTGAAGAAAAAAAATAGGAAAAACTTCATGCGATATTTTTTTAAAGTTTTAAAAAATGAAAATAATGCAAAAATTGAAAAAACTAATTCTTAAAACAAACAAAATATTCCTTAGTTAGCAGCAATGTGATAATAATTAACAAAAATATTTAAGTAAACTAGGAAACAAATTTTAAACTTTTACCTGAACCAATCTCTTTCCCTTGAACATTTCTGAAACAATTGTTACCCGAATATGAGAAGCTGATCCTAAAAATAAAAAAAAAGTTATATTAAAGCTATTAAAAGATCTATGCAGCATGTGAGACATAATTCAAATGATAAAAATAAAAAACACTTAAAAAATTTCCTTACCATTCTTAGTACAGTAGGATAGCTTTATAATGCAAACTTTAAAACATGAATACTTTATGTTTTGTGTGACATAGATTGTTTCAGATACTTGCCTACTGAACATGTCAATAGAAAGGGTGTAAAAAAATAATAAATAATTGGAATTTGCCAAATATCTCGAGAAATATATTTTAAATAAAAAAAAAAGTGGAAATAGATGAATTTAATATTTTTTAAAAGCTATCCAATGATACTGTAGTGCATCCAACACTACAAAAATATAATTCCAATTCACTTGTATATATAAGACATGTGAACTCGATTCTATGGTGGGATACCTTTTCATAGATGAAGGTTGACATCTATTCTTCCCACCTTCGCTGCCTACTTCAATGGATGGTCCATATTGAATAGTTGACATTATCCACCTTCTCGCGCTACTCGATCACACACAACGTATACACTCTACTGCTAAAGGCAACATAAGAGGAACCGTGAACTTAATACAGCTCTCAGGATCAGCACTCAAAAAGTGTGCTCTTAATACAGCAGTCCCGGCTTCTCGCAAAACAGAAAATGAATCGACAAGTGGTAATTGTTCATCGAATTCTATCACAGATCTGGTGGGGGAGTACTGTACTACTACAAAAATAGAATTCCATTTCACTAGTTATTAAGACATGTTAACTCAATTCTATGGTGGAGTTTCAGAGAAGAAGGTTGACAGTGTCGAAAACAATACCAACCTCAATCTTCCATCCCAACCCCTCAGAGATATCTGGTTTGAAATCTTAAATATGAATCCCCTTTTATATTGCAAATTCTCAAGAGAAAAGAAACCTATGCATTTTGTCTCAGAGATAATTAAAGTAGGGTACAACTTCTTTAAAATAATGGGGGGGAAAATATTTTCAGTATTTTTTTTTGAAATTTTTTTAAAAAAAATCCTTAAAAACATTTAAAACAAGTCTATATTTATATTCTTAATCTGATGGGTTTTGAAATACACCATTTTAAACAACTTGTACTCCATTTAAATTTACAACTCCTCAGTTAAGTAAAATGCAAAAACCTTTGAGTTACTTTTTTCTAGAGAATCTAAAAAATTGGGTTTCACATTTAAGAAAAATTGAGATTCATATTTAAGAATTCAAAGTTTCACCAAACCTGCCTCCAGGGGAGTGGGGCAGAAGTTTGCATCACTGAATAGCTTTTATAAAATAAATATTTTAAAATAATTTCTTAATATTCGAAGCCGCCTAAAAATACAAAAAGATGAATTTTAGTATTTATCATTTATAGAAAAAAATTGAAATTAGAGCATTAAAATAAAAATTGAGAATATTAAAATAAAATCTAACAAATTTATAAATTTTTGTTTACTTTAAAGATAGTACGATAAAAGTGGTTCAAGGTTATGTGGTTTATAGAATTGCATTATATAGATCTCCTACTGTGATTATAAGCTCAACACTTGTTTGGAAGTTTATTTTGTAAAATAGGGTGCAATGTGGAATCAGTTAAAAAAAAAAAATTGGCTTAAATTTTCGGTCTTAATTTAATAAAAAATAATAATTTAATAAAATTAATTTAATAAAAAATATCGGTCTTAATTTTTTACGTTTTAAAGTGTTATTTATGTGTTAACAGGGTAGGTCACGTAAACTAGATTAAATGTATTTTTTTTTGCATCAAGGTGACTACAAACTCTCACAAAATATTGCCTGAATTTTCCAGACTGATTTTGTCAAATTTCCCCGATGTTTACAAAAACTTTTAGCTATTGCTAGTGCGTAAAATACATTTCAAATCACTAATCCTTGCTATTAAAATTGAATATAATATTTTATTAAATAATTATTCTAATGCCAAATATTTTTTTTTGAAAAAAAAAAGAAAAAAGAATGGGACATCGTGGTATTTAACACACAAATTAATTCATTTTTTCAGACTTTTTAAGTATTTTAATTAAATTTACTGATTTTTCCAGATTCATAATTGCCCCAAGTTTCAATGTTCTATGATCATCCTTTCTTTGACTTAGACGGTTCCAGGTTAAGAGTTTTTTTTAAAAATAAAAACGCCCTTTTAGGGTTTTTAAAGGAGAGAAAGAAAAATTAAAGAAAAACAGGGTATAACTATAACATTTTATATATTCAGCAAAATTCTCCATAACCAATTTCTGGAACATTGCTACATTAACTGATATAAAAATTATTCCAATAAACTATATTAAAAAATACAAATAAAATGAATTCCAAAAACATTCTGAAGATAACAAATTCATATATTAACTCACCTCTAGGTACATTATGTCTTGCACTTTCATTTATAACCTCAATGTATTCAGGCTAAAAAGAAAAAACAAACATCACTTTGGAAGACAAATATCGGATATGCAATAAAAATAAAAAAATTCACAATACTTTTCCTCCAAAACCAATATTTAGCTCCAAATTTATGTTCCCATATAATATAATTTTTTTTTTCAAGTCAACCACAAATGTAGGTAGTTTAAAAGGCATCGCTAGAACTGTTGCTAATGGAAATGAGTTCAATGAAGCAATTTCTGATAAGTAAGATGTATGAGGTAAAACATCCCAGTCTTTGATTGCTTTCCTGTTATAAGGTGTTATCTTACAGATCCTTTTCTGCTTCTGAGACAGACTTTTGCAACACTTTGAGTGTGATGGTCAGACACTCTCTAGGAATTATCCATACTGCTAGTAATTAAGTATGAAGGATTCATTTTTTAGATGCATGAAATATATAAATGCATCTAATACATACATATGAATCTTGATTTCTAAAGAGTCGGCCTCTCTAAAACCTAATAAACATACTTTATTTAACTCAATAAGTCATTATTTAATATTACAAACAAGGTTATAACATTTCTTCTCGATTGGAAATAAAATTAAAAGAAATAAAATAGAATGAGTAAATTACTACGAATTAAAAAACCTCTTTTTTGAAAAAATTAAAAATGCTTCCTTTGAAATGCAATAGAAAATGACATTGGATTAGAAACCTATTTTGAATAATGTTGAGTAAAGTAAATTGAATCAAAAACTGTTTTTCATAATGCAAGTTAAAAAAAACCCTATTTTAATTTAATGATTCTTTGGTTTGATTCAGAGAATTTTTGGTCCACATGAGCAAAGGCAAACATTATTTTACACAAAATCAGGGGTGCCAAGATGGGAGGTCGCGGCAAACTCCCAAAGATTTTCACCATTCGGTAAGTTTAGCTTGGTCATTCAGCATATTCACGAAATTTCCTTTTCTCTCTCTTTAATTTTAGAAAGCACGATTAAATGAGTTGAGATTATATTGCAGTGTGCGTCTACCACTACAAAGAATACAATTCTCTAGTAACATGTTAAGACATGTTAACTCAGTTCAATGGTGGGGTACCTTTTCATAGATGAAGGTCGACAACTACTAGCCCTGCATGGGTGACCCGGATGTGGTGTGAACCCTGACAGAAAGTCCCATTTCATTTTGTACATGCCTACTTTGACAGATGATCCCCATTGAACAGTTGATTGGCTACTTGTGACATTATCCACCTCCTAGCGCTGTTGCTACTCAGTCTTGATCACACGCAACATCGGCCTGTATACACTCGATTGCTAATGGCAACACGGTCGTGAACTCAATACAGCTCTCAGCATGTAAAAGTACTGAAAAGTATGGTGCTCTTAATACAGCTCTCTCAGTTTCTCATAAAACAGCAATGAATCAACTAGTGGTATCCATTCATCGAATTTTATCACAGATAAAATTCTGGCAGGGGAGTACTGTAGTGTATCTACCACTACAAATATATAATTCCAATTCACTAGTATATAAAAACATGTTAACTTGATTTTTTGTCGTGATTCCTTCTCATAGATGAAGGTTGTCATTGTCGATAACAACAACACACATCGTTATTAATCCTTTTTAGCAATGATAAAAATATGCAAAAGTATCAATTGCACAATTCTTAATATTTTCCTCAATAAATTAAATAAACTCCTCGACTTAGAAAAGCCCATTTTTTCAATGATTTGCCATGGGGTTCCTATTTTTGAATGCAAACGAGCCAATTCAGAATCAATCAGAAATTGAGAGACAAGAAATCAAATAGCTCATTTTAAAAAAAACCTAGAACATTTCTTTTTCAAAAAAGACAAATTCTAAAAGTGTAACAGTCACTAGGTAATTACAGATTGGTTGATACTATAGATGAAAGTTGCTCTATGTTTAAAAAAATGATAAATTGTAATGACATATAAATATACATTTAATTAGGTAATTATCATGAACAAGAAAATTTTAAAACAAATTTATTAAATAATGAAAAATGAGAAAGATTGCTTATTTATAATTTGGTCAAATTAAGAATTTCATTCGGCCTAATGGGAATTTCCTCCCTCCGAAAAATGTAAGTTTGCGGCACCCCTGTACAAAACAATAATTAGCAAAGTTTAATTAAATCTTTAATTAAATATAAAACCCAATGATTTTCATAACTAATTAATCAATAAAACATTTAGAGGAAATGTATTCTAAACATATATTAGGGTGCGTAGCCAAATTTTTTAACAAAAAATAAACTCCTTTTAAGTGCTTTTTAAGCACATGAAAAATATTTTTGAGCACTATATACATTAACAAAATGGAAAATAATTTATAAAGACTTTACATGACCATGATAAAATGACTAGTTTCTGACAAAGAACTCTTTTCCTGATTATATTAGCCGTTATAAAATAGATCGAGAGATTTTTCATTTCGATATCAGAGGGGGGAAAATGAAACTTGAAATCTAAAATATCTTGCAAAATGCAGCAGAGTTGCACGTGAGAAAGCAATAATCTCACTGAACCCAACTCAGTGAACCTAACTTCATCAAACATGTAAAATGATTAGCGCTTTCATACGCTATAGACCGATGGCAAGCTGAAATAGATTGTTGAATGAATTGTGAAAACGCTAAATAGAACAATGTGAAAAGCATGGTTTTGCATAATATGGTAAAAATAGCATAGCATAACATGGTAAAAAAAAAATTCTAATTTTTGAAAAGGAAAAATCAAGCACTTTTTAAAAACACCCAAAGAAAAAAGTACTTTTAAGGGCTTTTAAAAAATGAAAATCGAAAATAAGCACTTTTTTAAAATGGTATGCACCTTAATACATGCTTTCAAACCGAGTTTTACGAGAAAAAATAAATAGAAATAAAATATGCTTAGAGTCAAAAAAGTTTACACATTGGGGTCTGCATACTCTAGAACAGTGGTTTCCAGCGAAGCTTTTTTCTTTTTGGCCCGCGAACTAAATTATATTAGTTGTCATTTTTTTGCGGACAATTTTCGTAAAAAATCTATATGGGTTTAAAATACTTTTCTCATTAATAAAAACCTAATTTCTTTATTTCTGTGAAATTTAACATACCAACGGTGCAAAAAAAACTTATTTCTCTGGTTTTGCATATAGGAAAATATTTATTCAAATACAAAAATAATCGTCCATGTTGCTCTCCTTTATTTCATTTTTTTGTATTTTGTGAATATAATTTAGCACGTGTGTATCAGAAATTTTCTCGAAGAAATTCTCCATTTTAACTTTTTCAAACCACTCATTTTGGACGAAAATATTTACACACACATTTGTAAATTTTAAATTTAAAATGTAAATATCTATTCTCTGGTGGTAGCAGCAAACAAACCTCAATTTTCTCATTGAACATTTAGTGTGGTACTATGTAAGTTGTAATACCAACCTTTTTAAAGTTTTATATCTTAACAATTAGATATCTGTTGCACATTAATTGTTTAATACATAGGTGCACATTAAAGTTATTGGAGCCTGAATTTTTTAATACACAATTAAATATTTTTAAAAATCTACTTCTTATTTTAATTTGTAATTCAATACTTTTGCTTNATCAGATTTTATTTCACTTCAAACATAAAAGAGTCCTACATAAAATTTTGATAAAGTTGCGGCCCGCCATTTGATTTGTGTTTTTAATTGTGGCCCCTGGAATCATGTAAGTTGGAAACCCCTGATCTAGAAGTTACTTATCAATTATGGAGGCCAGGGAACCAAGTTTCTTAACATGTAAGAACAACGCCAAATTCTGGTTTTTCTGGTTATTCCACCTGGGTGTATCAAATTATGCAATCATTGATAACAATGTAAGTCGAGTACAAAAATATTGCAAACATTACTGATAAATATAATCATAAAATATGATAAAATCTTGACTACTTTCTATAAAAAAAGTAATATCATGAACATTGTACAAAACAATAATTATTAAGTATAATATAGCAAGATTCCTATTTCTTTTTTTTTTTTCCCGAAGGGGGGAACAAAAGTATTCCAATGTAAAAACAGATAACATTAGTTAAATAAGAAAAATATTGAGATAAATTTTAAATATCAGTTTTTTTTTAACAATACACTGCAATATTAAAATTCTTAACTTATCTAATAAAAGTTATACAAACCAATATTTGATTTGACAACAACATGAAAAAATAGTATCCTATAGAACTTATCCTTCAAACATAAATTACAAAGGGACCTTTTTTAATTAAAAGTCACGTATAATAGTATATACATATAGTATAGACATATTACAACTAAAATTACTGCTATCTTACTTTTTTTACTACTTACAATGCATCTGTAGCAATTCAATTAAGAGAAAAATTATTATTTTTATATGCCATAGTTTTACCTTCAATGCATCTGTTAACTTCTTCTTTACAACATTTTCGACGAAATCCTACAAATGAATATAAATAAAAATTGAAGAAAACATGAATAATCCTATCACAAACAAAGAAGTTATAACAATTGAAATTACCTCAGCTGAAGTAGTGTTTGTACATAAATTTTTTTCAAGGATTCTTGGGTGGAAAGCTGTTCTCCACTTCATAGGCAATGCTGAAAAAGAAAATACAAAATTAATAAGAAAATCTAACACACACTTCTTCTATTAAAAAATACTTATTCTTTCAACAAAGTAAAATAAAATCAAACAGACTACCAACAGTTCAAAAAAATAGATGAAAGAAGAAATTACCAGCAAAATTATTTTTGATTGTAAAAGTCAAAAGAAGGCTTCTAGCAATTAAAAAAAAGATGTTTGAATGCATTTAAAGATTTAAAACAAATTTTTTTAATCAAATCAAACAATTCTAAAAGTCAAATAAGGGTAACTGATAAACATTAAATATGCTTATCAACTTACCTTAACCCGAAATTTGTACCATTTCATTGATTACAGAAAAATCCAGTATTTTTGCCTTTTAAAGACTCTTGCATGAGCAAAGGCTAACACCGGCACACAGAGCTGTAGTTTATTCTTTCGGATCCTACCAGTTAACGGCCATGGCCAGCAATTTTATTTGAAAGGGAAAATAACAATATGGCTATATTACGATTTTACATACTGCATAGTATACGGAAGAAAAAAGAATGCATTCATGGAAAATGTATGGTGATATATAAAACATAAAGATTGATTTTTTTTATTATTGTTCTAAATGATATATATAGGTATATAGTTGTTTTTATTTTTTTTACAGCAAAAGTACTTGATTCTACAACAATGGCTCCTAAGATTGAAGTTGTAAAACAAAAAAAACAAAAATTACAAAAAGATAAAACAATAATATAAACTTTATAACAATAAAAACAGGAAGAACAATAAAACATGGAAAGACAAAAGCAAATGCATAGCAATGATAGATTTGGAATTATGTTGGACAATAAGCTGTACATATGTTTGAAATAATGTTTTGCTGGTAGAGTTCATAATTGCATAGTAAAATACTTGTTTGTAAGTTAGATACCTACACAATTACAAATCATAGAGACCAATAATGTTGCGTGGCCATGCTTGACAGTACTTTATAAAATCATCAAAATATATCTAAAAGCAATACTTAAAATACATCAAATTGTAATAGATATATATTCATTTATTTCCTGGTATATCCTCCATGCATTTATACCAGGATATATATATATATTCCTTTTGCTCCGACTATACAAAAGTTTTTGCCTCAAGCTAGGAATAAAGTGTGTGGAGGGGGGTATTTCCCCCACTTCTTCTACTTTCATTAAATTAAAGTGTTTTAAAGACCACAAAACTAAGGTCAGTAGTGAAAAATGCTATTTTCTGCTTTGCAGATGTGACCAGCTATTGATAATATGCAAGTTTATCGAATATGGAGATCATTCATAATAATACATTCATAATTTTAATGACTGAATATTGAGACTATTACCGGTAACATAAAATTTTACACACTGATAATATTATTGTTGTAGAGTTTTGAATTTTATTTGGGTGATGAAAGAATTGAAAAATGTAAATATTCTTTAAAGATAATTTTAATAAGATTGTGATGTTAAAATTCACCACTGAACAGTTATATAGACCAATGCAAGCGGCCTACACACGGTCCTGTAACCCCAAATTTCCCCACAGCTAGGAGAAGGGTGACAACAAGTTCAGAGTGCGATTTTACTTATAAGTTTAGACTTTTTGCCCGCATAAGTTGGGAGCCATTTTAGTGACATGGCTCAAAGTCTGATAGGTAGGTTCAAAGGCTATGGATTTCAAGATTAATTACACACAATTTAGAATTAACCCACAATTCTAAACTTACCACGAGATAGAAAGTTTTCAAAATAAATTTCATAAATGTTAACACATAATATGAATTCTTGACTCCGTATAAGCTAACCTCTCCAAATGTTATTTTCACAATTTGACTGCTTTTGATCAAAAATTTCATTGTGTACACTTTTGTCAATCTTTTTACAAAAAGAAATCGCCAAGAATATTTTTTACTGACAATTTCCGTGATGAACATATTTCTTAATTGATTACAATTTTTTGTGATGATGATGTTCACAAAGCTTTGTTGACAAGAAATTTAAAAAGCACAGATTGTGACAATCTTTTAGTAGCCTCTCTGGAGCAAGTAATTATATACAGCGAAACCAGTTTAAAATAGACCACCTCTGTGTGTTGATAATCTGTCTAAAATTATTTTCAGGAGTACAAGAACTGGATAGTAGAACTTGGCAAATTCTATAGTAAAAACGAACTTTTTTTTACTCTTTATTACCCGGAACAACTGAGTACTTTGAGCTTATATCTGATCAGAATAACTTTACATAATTGATTCTTGCATAGATATAAGATTTTAATTAATTTTATAACAAAAGTACGGATTATTTTTCTTTCCTATTTCATAAAAATCATTCAACAGTCTTATGGTTAGTTAATTATTTCGAAGAAAAAAAATCATTCATAAAAAAGTTGCTCATTTTACACTTTTCACTGAAATAATACAATAAGTGAATAAACATTATATTTCTACAAAAATATCGAAATTCAGTGATAGGGAAACCTGAACTGAAGAACGACTAACTTTGATAAGGTAGTTTTAACAAAATACATAAAAATTTCAAAACACTTAATTTAGTCTGATGTATGAAATATATATTTTAAGATGTCATACTTCTTAAATAATAAATATAGAATATAAAATATGAAAGGCACCTAACAATCTCAGATGTAGAGCCATTATAATTAAAAAAAATTCGTTGGCTTTAACACAAATAAACAAAGTTATCCGAGGAGAAAAAAACTAATTCTGCTCATTAGTACTCGCTTTGTTACTAATGATCTTGCTTCAAGAAAACTGTGGTTGGCTTTGTCAAGCAGGCCGCTAATACTCATGCGTCGCAGTTTTCGCATAAATCCACGCGGATTTTTTTAAGTATGCAGAACTCATATTACAAAAATAACAAATAAATAGGTAGGTAGGTTCTTCATTTACGTCGTACTAGAGCTACACAATGGGCTATTGACGACAGTCTGAGTAACTTCCCTGAGGATGATCCGAAGACATGCCATCCCAATTTTGATCCTCTGCCTCAGTAACCGGAAACATGTGCGCGAAATAATGAGTAAATAAAAATAAGGAATAAATATAATAAATAAATTAAAATAATAAATAAGAAAAAAGGAAAACAAAGAAGAAAAAAAAAGATTTTTATTTTATTAATGTTGGGGGAAAAAAATAATTGCTTCTTTAGTAATTAAAAATATGCAATAATTTCCTACTACATAAGTCCCGCAGTGGACTTATCGTTACGACACGGTTCCCAACAGATCACCGAAATCAAGCATCACTGGCTGCGGTCAGTGTGCGGGTGGGTGACCACTTGGATCAGTCTGCGTAGGGACCGAGGGTGTGCGGTATTGTCCTGGTTAAACTGTGCTACCGTAAAGTGCTCGACTTCGCGCGCAGGTCGTCGGGCTACCGAAGCGGGGGTGCCATCCCCTCTGCAGAGGATCAAAATTGTGATGGCATGTCTTCGGATCATCCTCAGGGGTGTTTCCCAGACCGTCGCCAATAACCCATTGTGCAGCCCTAGTGCGATGTAAATGAACTACAACAACAACAACCGACTACATAAAATTTTTAAGAGTTCTTTTATAATTTTAAATCCAATACAGAAGACAAGGGAACTGCTTGATCAAGTATTAAGAGATATTAGCCTTCGTGGATGACTTTCTGATGGAACTAACCAGCATTTGCCTTACATGGAGAGGAAAAACTTCCTCTGTTAGACTGACAGCGAAGACAGTTAGTCTACTACTGCATATGTTTAACGTCTGCACTAGGGTCGGTACGAGCCGGGTGCGGATAGGGCCTGATTATCGCCTAGACCCAATAGGCACGGATCTACCTAAGAAGCACCCAATATCGATCGATCTCGAAAAAACTTAGCTTACGACGTCGATCGATGTTGTTCCAAAACGCCGATCTATGTAAAAACGTTAGATTTTTTCAATATTGTACGACATTGTAAAATTGTTATGGATTGATATTTCAATAACGCCGTAGAATATCCAGTTTGGAAAAAAAAAATAAAATTAAAAAAAAAAAACATATTTCATGGCGTCTATAGATACAGTAGAATGTCGATGAATATTTTCATAACGTTATTCGTACAACAAATATTAAGAGCATTTAAAGATGCGGCCGATCGATAATTTTGATACGCTGTTTAAAAATTTTTTTCCACGGGTATTGTAGGATACAGGTACATGTCTGTTAAGTTTTTTATTTCGCGAATTGCACTTCAGATTTTATTTCGCTAATTGCACTCCAGGCTGTACAGTTGCAGATTCGATTAATTAGATTTATAATGAGTAAAAAAAAAAAATCCATCGATTTATATTGAGCAAAATTTGTTCAGGTTATCTTAAAAAGAGCTACATGCTGTGCTCAGCCTATGCCTATTTAACGATAAGCATTCTGCAAAGTAGTGAGCAAAGATTTCATATTGTTTTTAACATTGCCTTAGAATAAAATACAATCTGCAAGTATTTAAGTCATTCTTTAAAAGTACAGGGCGCATAGCCAGATTTTTCAACAAAAAATAAGCACTCAAAAATATTTTTAATCAGTTTCCAAAAAAAAAGAAAAAATGTAATTAAAAAATAATAAAATTAAAAAAAAAATATATATAATAAGAGAAAAATAGGTGAATAGGAAAGAGTGTGAGCACTGTAGATGGAATGTAAGAGGCGAATATTAATGTAAGTCATGATAATTATTTTCAGCTCAACTAAGATATATAAATCAAAATTAAAGATTATGTACTTGTTTTAAAATAGCCACATTTTACATGTATGTAAATTAGTTTTCTTATTTTTTAGTATTTGCTATGCACATTTGATCTTCAGACAGGATTCAGTCACTGAATTTTAGTACTTTAATATATTGCACAACAGCACTTAAAACTCAAAAAAATATTATGCGTTTAATAAAATTTGCCCTTCTGATATGAATGTGCTTTGTAATATAGAAGGTGTGAATGCAGAGGAATAAAACAAAAAGTAGCTATGAATATTTTATTTGAATTAGTAAAACAAATTGGCACATTTTTGGGTCTCCAAGTCTAAAGAATTGGTCACATCAATTATCTTAGGCTTTCGTCCTTCCCAATCAGTGGCTGTAGCCAGTACCTTCCCAAGTTTTTCCGCAAGCTCTTGGCCTCAAAGCGTCTGAGAACTGTAGCTGGAAGCAAAACATTGAGTAATGTTAATAACATTTAAAAAATAAAAACTGAAAGACTATTTAACAAAACACAATTTATTAATGAGTATATACTTTGAGAGCTGAATTGAATGAAGGATCAAAAAAGCTGTATTAGACACTGTTTGGTAAAACTGTCTGAATATTTAAGCTGTATCTTTGATCAAATAATAAATTCTTTAGCAACCAAAACTACTATAATAGAAAGTTTATCAGCTTTAATTGTATTTCTTAATTTTCAATTTTACTTCTATGTATTAAAGAACATTCTCTTAAACTAATGTGAATCAGAAAAAGTATTGAAGTTGAAAATAAGATTTATTTTTAAATTTTAGATCTGATATTGATTACTTATGATTGCGTATACTTATGGTTGCGTAAAAGCTCAAACTTATTATAAATGCACTGCATTTACAAATGCATTCAATTCTTTGATGTATTCGGTTTTTTTGTTTGTTTTTTTCCCTTCTGCGAAATTACTTTTTTTTTTGTGATCAGATCCAAAAACTATTGATCTACAACCGTGTGGAAAATTAAGCTTTTCAAGCCTCTCACTTTTTTGGTTTGGATTTCTGAAACTTTTTTGCAATATTTGGTTTCCTTTACATGGAAACAAACCTTTATTTTGTATTTTTCAAATAGAGAGAATCTCTTCCTAGCATTATTTTTAAATTAAATTTATTTATGATGCTGCCTTTAATTACAGCTTGCAAAGATCGACTGATGAGATATATTAATACAGATTAAAAAATTGTGAGTGGTGCATACATGAAAAATCCTGAATAAACTTAGAAAGGTTTAACTGCAAATTAATGTTTGTAAAATTTAATTCTAAATTGTTATTCAGATTAAAAACTTTTTTTTCTTTCCGATAAGGAGGGATACACCGGTTTTAAAAGGGTTCACTCAACCATCCATAAACATTTAAAGGAAAGATTTCTTGTTTTATAATCCTCGTTGAACAGGTAATTTCATCATACGTAGCCTTGTCAATTTGAACCCAATTCAGAAGACAAGAGATCGGCCTTCGTGGAGGTCTTTTTGATGGAACATTTGAGTGACATGGGGAGGAAAACCACGTTTAATCTGACGGTAAGGGGGCCCGTCTACCACTGAGGATATTTCATGACAGTACTGTGGTCGGTGCAAGCCGGAATTCGTATTGGCCAGCCATCGCTGGGATCCGGTTCACCTCATTGGAAGGCAAGAAATCCGGAAGATCCGATCCGGAAGACAAGAAAACTTCCGGATCCCCCAGATGTATTGATTTGCTGTGGGAGGACTCGACAGATTTAAAGTCCGTCGGAGCAGTGTTTTTCAGTCTTGTTTGAAATAAAGAAAATGTTTTCAATCATTTTTATCCTATGATTTACAGCTTCTTTAAATTTGGCACATCTATTTATTCTGTTTCACGCACCTTTGTTTACAGTTCAGAGAATAGATCATCCTTCTAATGGCGTTTCATATCTAAGTATTGAGTACGTGATGTCCATTTTTTTCTTCCTTCTGATTGGGTGCAATTTGACCGATTTTGCGTCATTTTAAAATGAAGCTCTACGTTAAATCAACACTATGACATTTATCCAATACAACATAAGATGACGCGAGAGTTCCAATGTCTTATGAGTATACATTTCAGTAAACAAGTGGAATAACCTTCGGTCACTCTTTGGACATCTGCAAACACATTTATCTCAATTTATTAAAACGTTTGAATGACGATAATTTTAATGAATACTACGTAATATTGAATGTTACTCTTACAAATTAATTTTAATGCAAAAATGGATTGCAATGAAGAATGGGAGAGTCATCAAAAGTTTATTTATTCATGCTCATACTTACAACGTTTATTCTCACTCCACACATAGATTCACACAAAGTGTCTGATTAAAATATCGTCTGCTCTAATTAATGAACCTACCCCGACAAACAAATAAGATTGAGTTCCAGAACGATCATTAGATCAAAAGCTATATACAGTTTTCTCAAGAATAATTAGAATTCACGGAAATCTCTTCATTTTATATTTTGTTGGCTCTACTCATGATTAACTCCTTGCAATTTTGAAGATCTCTCTTGGCCTTCGTAGAGGACTTTTTAATGTGTGTTACATGGAGGTTAGGGCAAAGGGATTCTAAATCTACTAAATATTAAAGTGATAGACTT